ATTCTTAATGAGCAGTAGTAATGTTGAGAAAAGAAGAAAAAAATATCATCCAGTTGCTGATAGCACTTTGAAGCTATTAATGAACTTTGATAGGATATATACATGACCATATGACTACTCTTGCTGCAAAATAAAAGACTTTTAGATTAGAGAGTCTCTTTAGAAGGGAGATTTATACTTCTGATCCAGCTAACATTGAGTACATTTTGAAAACAAACTTTGATAACTATGGCAAGGTATGTCTCTCTGCAACATGGAGTGTAAATTACTCTTTCCGTTTCAGTTCGTTTGTCTAGTTTTAATTTGACAATAAGAAAAAATTTAAAACTCGTGGTCTTAAACTAAAGACATGTTTGAATCTATCAATATATCTTTAAATATTATAATTTTAAAAATAGACAAAGTTATTTGGGTGAGTATAATAAATAATTTGATTTATTATAATTTATAGCAATATGTAGTAATATTATGATAAATTTGCACTATGTATAAAAAAGTAAATTATGCATGCACTATAGAGGAAGAGGTATTAGTAATGCATGTATTAATTATACTTGTATTAGTTATGCATAGATTATTTTTTATGCATTGTTTTGTTTGGTGTATAAAAAATAGTATGCATTGTATAAAAATATTTATTTACAAAAGTATCCTTCACAATTATGATAGAAAAGATGTAAAAGTACTTTTGAGGGGTAATTGGTTTTTAACCATATTAATGCATGTATTAAATCTTTTGCATTACTAATACCTAAAAATCCATGGTATTAGTAATACACTCATCAATACACAGTAGAGTGTATAACTAATGCAAGCATTAGTTATACATAACATGAAAAAATGCACCAAACAACGGACTACTAATACATATAATTAATGCATGTATTATTTTTACTAATACACTTTACCAAACGACCCCTTAATGTTTTAAAATATATAATGCTTGTTTGTTAAGAAATTGACACAATACATTATAAATGTATTAAAATGTGTGATAAATGTATTATCCATTAATAAAACTTGTATTATACTATGTGTTTTATAAATTGTTCTCTACCTTGTGTATTAAAACTGTACTATAAATATTATAAGTGTTTAAGTGAAAAAAAAAGTTATTACAATAAATGGTAAATATTTTCTTAATATAACATATTTATATAAGTTTCCCTTTTAGAAAATATCACGTGGAACATTGAAATTAAGAAGTTGTCAAAAAATAAAACATAGATTTTTTTTCAAATGGATTAAAAAGGATAATAAAACAAATAAATTGAAATATAATGAAAATGCTTTTGAACTCAACTTGCTTTTAATGGGACATTATTTTTATGCAAAATTAAGATTAGAAATATTTTTAAAACAAACTATTAAGGATGAGGACATTTTTGAACTGATCAAATAAAAACATAAATTTATATGTCTTCATGAGGTTTTAGAAGACTATTATGGAGATGGTGTTTTCGCAGTTGATGGCGATAAATGGAAAGAACAGAGAAAGCTTTCGAGTCCAGACTTCTCCAAAAGAGTTCTGAGGGATGTTAACAGTATCGTCTTTCGTGGAAATGCAGCAAAACTTGCTAACATTCTGTATGAAGCTGCAAATTCTAACAACACAGTAGACATTCAAGTAATCTTCCACTTATTATTCGTACATTATCAAGTCATTTAAAAGATAACCATTTCATACGTAATCATAAAAAAAATTATGTAGAATCTGCTTCTGAAGTCATCTATGGATTCTCTGTTTCAAGTAGCATTTGGTATTGAGCTGGAGAGTGTGTGTGTGTCGTTCTAGTAAAGAAGGCTCGAACAGATTCATCCAAGCCCTTGATGAATTGAGTTTCTGGCGATATATCGATCTCTTTTGGAAGATCAAAAAGGTTCTTAATATTGGATCCGAAGCTAAGTTAAAGAGAAGTGTTTAGATCCTCGACGAGTGTATATATAATTTGATCAGCACAAAAACAGAGCAGCTTTCGCAAGACAAACATGATTCCTCAGTAAGCAATTTTATATTGTGTTATAATTCTACCGGAGATAACATAGTACTCCCTTTGTCTCCAACTCACTTTTCTTTTTCTCTATGAATACATATATCTGTGATTTATTCTAAATCACGGATTTCAAAAGTTTTTCTTATTTTCTTAAATTTTGTGTCAAGTCATATTAAATCATATAAAATTGAGACAGAGGGAGTAGCAATTATTGTATTCATCAATCTGAATTCTTTAATTGTACAACAGAGGAAAGAAGAAAACATTTTGTCAAGGTTCTGGCACTGTTCTACAACAAATCCAAAGTACTTGAGAGATATACTTGTAAACTTCATGGGTGTTGGTAAAGACAAAACGGGAACGACTCTCGCTTGGTTTATTTGGAGTTTATGCAAGCATCCTCAAGTACAGGAGAAGGTAGCACTAGAGATTAAAGACGCGACAAAATCAAATATTGGTACAACAATTTCAGATTTCGCTTCACATCTAAATGAAGAAGCTATGGATAAAATGCACTATCTACAAGCTGTGCTTTCGGAGACATTTAAGACTTTATCCTTCTATTCCATTGGTAAATATTCAAACTCTCTTCATTTACGAACATCTGTTTATTAGTTCTCAACTATGGACATACGTACTTTGGTAGAATGGGAAAGTTTGTTTCGAAGATGATTGTTTGCAACAAATTTCAAACATATGAAAAATAAATAAACCACACAAATAAAATCTAAAGAAACATGAATATATAGATAAATATGCGGGTACAATTCTGTTTCTCCCTTGATTCTACTCTCCTAAGATTTATCCATGATTCAAGGGTCGTTAGTGGCGTATTTCTCGAACTAGGATGATTTAGATTTGACCTCTATATGAACATTCCATCAACTTATGGAATATTCGAGATCTTGATCTTTAAAAATACCCAAGAGTTTATGGGATATTTTGAGATGTCTTTTCAGGAAATTTAGTACCCTTTATATAGGCATAAACTAAAGTTTAGGGTTGAGTAGACTCCAAGAATTCTAATTAAAAATGAACACACCATCTAGCGTTCCAATTCGAATTGAACACTTATTGTAGAGTCCGCAAAATTTCAATCTCTACAAATGCCTCCAGCTTCAAGGCTTGTCGGAGTGTAGACTTGATGAAACTCAAAAACGAGGCTTGAAGTACTCATTCTTCCACCTTTGCAGCTTCAGATTTTCAAATTTGATTTAAGAGAGAAGAGATGAAGGGCAGATTTGGTCCCGCTGGGCGTGCCAATTTGTTTGCAACAAATTTTAAACATATGGAAAATCAATAAACCACAAAATAAAATCTGAAGAAACATAATTTTATTCATCAAGATAGCGGATACAATTCTGTTCCTCCCTTATTCTCCTCTCCTAAGATTTATTCATGATTCGAGGGCCGTTAGTGATATATTTCTCGAACTAGGATGATTTAAATTTAACCTCTATATGAATATTCCATGTCTTTTGTAGAATATATCGAGGTCTTGATCTCTTTATGGAATTTTTGAGATGCATTTTAAGAAAATTTAGTACCCTTTATATAGGCATAAACTAGGGTTTAGGGTTGAGTAACCTCCAAGAATCCTAATTTGAGTTGAACACAATTAGTAGAGTCCCAACTCGAATTGAACACATCTTGTAGAGTCCCACAAAATTTCAATGTCTACAATAATGTACTTCCAGATGGATACAATGTGAATAAAGGGGATATGGTGGCATATCAACCATACGCAATGGGAAGGATGAGCTACATATGGGGTGATGACGCACAAGAGTTTACGCCAGAGAGATGGATTGATGAAAACGGTTCCTTCAAGCAAGAAAGCCCCTTCAAATTTACCGTTTTCCAGGTCTGTACGTATATATATTGACAAATTGACAAGACTAATGACTTTCATTATTGAAGATAATGAATTAAAAAACATGTTTTGATGCACTACGCGCAGGCTGGGCCAAGGATATGTATAGGAAAAGAATTTGCTTATAGCTTTTAAAGAGTGCACTCGTCCCAAAAAATTAACATGTGATATCCAGAAAAATCATAAAAATTCAGTTGATTGATTACATCAATATATATTCAGTGTGGGACCTATGATATCTAAAGGCACAACCAAGTGCTTAAATCACTCCCGATCACCTTGGGATCTATGCAAAGTATTCAACAAAAATCATAAATTACCTTTTAGACTTATTGGAACTGCCAAAACTCAATTCCAAATTCATTTTCCCATTTTGTTGACTTTCACCAAATTAAACTTCAAATTTCTAGATTTTTATTTTCTTCTCTAGTATGCATTTGATTGCCTCGGGAACCTGTCGTTGTGCCCAAAAGTCATTAGTCACATTTTAAACTATGGAAAGTATATTTAAAAAAAAGGTTCGATTACAATTTGTCCACCAACGTAGTTCATCTCCAAACTCAAACACCTATCGACCCATATAGTGCAATTTTAGGGTGTTACTTCTTGTGTTTGTGAGAAAAAGTATGATCTTTTGGGTTATTAAAGTAAATAATACTAATACAGAAATGTAAATAAGCATACAAGTCCAACAAAAAAATGTAACCAGTTTTGCCAGTTCAGTATATATTTTTAGTTTGAATTATAAAGTCATTATGCAATTTAAGTTCTTAAAAAAGGGAGTTTTTAACCTGTCTTATATGACTTCATATGATTACTTTGTGACTTAATTGTGTTTACATTAGAATTGTCACTTGTATGTGAGAAAAAAAAAACTTAATTGTCCATTTAAGAAAGAAAAACCTTTTTTGACAACTCTTTAATTCTATTTTTTCACATGACATGTTTAAGGCCATAAGATTAAAATACATTTTAATATATTTCACATATCTTCAATATAAAACCACAAAATTCAAAAGTGTTCCTTATTTTTCTAAATTCGTTAAAATCAGAAAAACAAATTGAAATGGAGAAAGCATTATTTTTAATACAGCTGCAGTGTGGTAGTCCATTTATTCTCCTTGACATAGCTTCTAGTAGCTATTGATTCTACGAAAGGCACGAACATGTAATCCTCCATCTATATGAAGCTGAAGCATAGTTTTGTAGTTCACAGGCTTTGTGTCATCACTCAATTTGAATACAAAGAATTGCATTAAAACTGCAGCAGTAATCTTCATGTTCTTGTATGCAAATTCCTTTCCAATACATATCCTTGGCCCAGCCTGTGTGCGTATGCATCCAAACAATAATATTTCACGTCAGATGTAATTTAAACGCGTGGTGATAATAAGATTATGTCGTTGGATGAATGCGTGCAACAATAGTAAAGTAGAATGAGTGTGATTTTAATTATTAATACATGCATGTATGTATATTTGTATACCCTTTTTTGTTTTGCATATGTGCGCGAAAAATTGGAAGTTAATTTGAACGTTATGCAACATATTGGAACATGATGTTTATAATTTATATGTTTAGTGAACAGACCTGGAAGGCAGTAAATTTGAAGGGGCTTTCTTGCTTAAAGGAGCCATTCTCATCGAGCCATCGTTCTGGCTTGAATTCTTCAGCATCATCACCCCATAAGTATTTCATCCTACCCATCGCGTATGGTGGGTACGCTACCATATCTCCTTTCTTCACATTATATCCATCTGGAAATACATCATCTTGAAGGCATACTTTGGCATTCTGGATTCATGAAATGTAAACCCCGTGTTAGAAATAGCAGGGGAATTTGAGATAAAGAAAATAAGTTGGAAGTATTTTTATGTTTACCACAGGAATGGCTGGATATAGTCTTATAGTCTCCGAAAGAACAGCATGAAGATAATGCATCTTATCTACTGCTTCTTCTTTCAGATTGGTCCCAAAATCTGAAATTGTTCCACTGCCTCCTTTTGTATTCGTTGTTTCTTTGATTTCCTCAGCCAGTTTTTCCTGCACATGTGGATACCTGCAGAGCATTAAAATAAACCACGAGAGTGTCGTTCCTGTTGTGTCTTTACCACCACCCATGAAGTTTATCAGTATATCTCTCAAGTACTTTGGATTCGTCGAAGAGTAATGCCAGAACCTTGACATAATGTTCTCTGCTTTCTCCTGTAAAATGTCCACAATCAACAAATTAACTTAATTGTTTAGAAAGAGGGCGAAAAGTTCAATTGATCACGACTTACGGTGGGATCGCGTTGTTGTGAAAGCTGTTCAGCTTTGCTACGGATAAGCTTATACATGTACACGTCTATGATTTCCATACTTTTCCTCAATTTTGCTTCAGAACCAAAATTTAGTGTCTTTTTTATTTTCCAGAACATATCAATGTATCGTAGAAGGCTCATTTCACTCGCATCATCAAGTGCTTTGATGAATCTGTTAGCCAGTGGCGGAGGGAGGATTTTCATCAAGGGGGTTCAAAAAAAAAAATTTATCACGTAAATAATATCCACAAATAAATTAAACGGGTCGAATCGGATATAAACGGGTCGGATTAAACTGTTCGAATCAAGAAGAAAAGGGTTTTTTAATATTTGACTTTATAATTAGGGACTAAACTAATAAATCCTAAATTCCCAATCAACATTTTAATTTTTTGGAACTAAACATCATTTTCTGACTGCATTATTATATTTTTAAGTAAATTAAAACGCCTAAAATATAAGCTGATAAAAGAAATGCCTCTGCCCGGATTCGAACACGCGACCTCGCGTGCAGTAGAGCAAATTCCTGAACCCCCAACGCCACTGAGCTACGCCTTTGGTGTATGTTCAGGGGGTTCACTACTATATATATACACATATATTAAAAATTTAATCTTATATATATAGTGTAATTTTTCGACGAAGGGGGTTCGGATGAACCCCCTTCATACTACGTAAATCCGCCCCTGCTGTTAGCCCCTTCTTCACATGAACCACATACACTGTCAAGTTCAATCCCGAAAGCAACTTGAAATACTGAATCCAAACTTGACTTCAAAAGCAAATCCTACAAAATAGACATATATGATGGTTAAGTACGTAGCTAATAGCATGACATGATTTGTTTAATAAAGCTGAAGTAGCTCACTTGAATATCTACTGTTTCTTTTGAATTTGCGGATTCATCTAAGATGTTAGCAAGCTTTACTGCATTTTTGCTGAAGATAACACTGTTAACTTCCCTTATAACCCTTTTCGAGAACTCAGGGCTCGAAACTTTTCTCTGTTCTTTCCATTTCTCACCATCTACAGTAAACATACCGTCTCCATAAAAGTCTTTTAGAATCTCATGATGGTAATCTCCCTGCACGAACATTTTTTAAAGTCAATCCATATGCTCATACCTCTTTCTGTCCCAGTTTATATGGTACAGTTCAAATTTCGAGAGTCAAACAGTTTAACTATATTTCACTATTTATGTGGATACTACCTTTCCATAGTTGTCGAAATTGGTTTTTAGAATGTACTCAATGTTAGCTGGATCAGAAGTGTAAATCTCTCTCCGAAATGGGCTCTCAAGTCGATAAGTTTTGTATTTTGCAGCAAGATCTGCCATGTGATCGTGGATACGATGAAAGTTTATGAGCTGCTTCGTCGTAGAATCAACAATTGGATGGTATTTCTTTTTCCCTTTTTGCTTTGCTCCTAGTTTGCTCATGAAGAAAACTATCAGTACAAGAAAAGACACAGAAATAGAAGGAAATGTTGCAAATATAGAGATTGGATTCATTGTTAGAATATCCATCTTATTTTTTGTGCCAATACTTAAAACATACATTCATTCTATTTATAGAGAGTATGATGGATTGGATTCTCTTTAGCTTTGGTATTTTAAAAGACTTGTCTTTCTTGTTTTCTTGTTCTATGTGTATTTTTGTTGTCTTAACCAATATTTAATTGAAGGTGGGAAATGAGATCCTCACAAATTTGTCTATTTCATGATGATTTATGTGTAATAGAACAGCAATCTTGAGCTACTAAAGTTAAAAGGTAAAAAAAATCCTTCATCTGACGTCATTTCCTTATTGATACATCCCAAAAAAAATTATGTGACATCTTTTCCTTATTGGTCTATCCCAGAAAGAATTATGTGTCATGATAAGAAACAATTTAGTTATAAAATTCTTCTTGTACTCTTAATGAAATAATTAACAACCATAGAAATATCTAAGAATTATTTTAGATCACAAATTTCAATAGTTTTCTTCTTTTTCTTTAACATCGTGTCAAATCAAATAATGCCACATAAAATGAGATGGACGAAACCCTAATAATGTCTTAGTGGTGGTGTATCAGCAAAAACCAAAAAGGCCTCAATACAATACAACTTAGCAGCTACTTGGTCATATCATCACCAAAAATCAAGAAGTACTAATAAAGAAATTAACTTTGTCAAAATGTTGGGCATTCAACACTTATCATGTTGAAGCAGAGACTTAGCCTTCCCAGGATGATGTTGGAAGGAATGAAATGATCATTATTTGAAGCATGTTTAGCAAGAAAGTTTGGTGTTATGTGTCCTATTAACTATTAAATTAAAGGTTTCTGAGTCTTCTTTCCAACACCAATAACCATTCTGTAAATGACAATAAAAAAATCGTAACATTACCCATTTCTCAACAATAGCTGAATGATAGTATTAAAAATGGTCACTGAAAAGGGAAAATACTATCTTTTATAATTTCATAAAATGATATAGTACATGAACACTGAATGTGGTAAGATCATTTTATGGTGGACAAGCTACAACAACAGTATAGGAGCTGGAGAATGAATCGAAGCAGAATAATTTTATTCAGTTCCGTTTTTGCTTCTGCTCTACTGGAGGTGGAAATAGAGCACGAAAAATCCATGCAGCCAAAATTGCTCCTATGAAGGGACTGATCCAATAAACATAAAAGTGTTCCCATGTGTTGTGTGTATTGCTTAGGTAAGCCCAGCCAAATGCCTGCAAATCAACAAATAGTTGCGTGTTATGGGGGCGATTTAACAAATTGAGCAGGAAACACCAAAAAGAAACAAATGGCTACAGGTTTAGGTGAATTTCATAAACGGTCATATAATTCATTATGACTTGTTTCTTTCACTAAAGTCACGTAACTATGTTTTCTAATATAACACATTCATAGAAAATGAGGGTAAAATGAAAGACGTGGTTCTTGATTGAACTCATTCCCGGTCTTATGTTCCCCACATTGTAAACGAAGATACCTAAAAAAACAAAGTACTATTTAATTAACACCGACCAAGAAGTTTGTAACTAGACTACAGGCCACAAAAAATACAAATAAGTAATGAGAACATGTTTACAACTTACGAAGGGAAACAATAGAAATGTGATCAATCTATAGATTAGACATATTTAGCTAATATTTGCCATCTAAATCCATTTTCAATAATTACCTTATTCCATGATAGTATGAGGCAAATACAAGCATAACCAAGGTTCAATTGGTTAATGTTCATACATGGATAGGCACATTTTATTTGCACCATTCTTCACATCTCTGTTTTCCTAATAGAGAAATATTAGAGAAAGGGCATCCGTTTTGCGTTGGTCATCTCCTTTGGAAAAACAGAACAGCGATTTCTTATGGAAAGATTGAGATGCAGAGCAAAGTCTAAAGCAAGTTTCTCAAGACTACCTCAATTCATTCATGGTGTGATGTGGGGAAGCTACGGGGATGTAATATGGAGGCAAGACAGCATTTCGGAAAATATTAAAGTTGGACAGTCAAAAAGAAATGCTTAACTAGGTGTTATAAATTCCTAAAGAAACTAGAAATCGAAGATTGTAGAGAGAGTAACAACTGTTCATTTTAGGGTGTATTTGGCACGAAGGAAAATGTTTTTTCTAAAACCTTAGAGTGTTTTTAATTATTTTCTAGTATTTGGTAAGTAAGCAAACAACATTATTCTAAAAAAACAAAGAGTTAATGTGGAATGCCACTTATGAAACTTGTTTTCACTACTTCCATTAGGGAAGTCTCTCTGAGTGTAACCACTGCATTAGCAATACCACTTGTTCTCTGATATCATTAACTTTAATGTGGACTTCTGAAATCGCCAGTCACAAGTCCAACCAATTAGAAGCGAAAATTAGGGGAAAGTATAGCATTGTTTTCGTGAACACTTGCAATTTATCACTAGGTTTGTGATCACATAAACTTCATGCATAGTTTCAAGATTGCTAGAGCCCGAAAGAACACAGAATAGCTTCAAAAGAATATAAATGCATGTAGGTAAACTTGGAAGGATGAATGAGGATAGAGTTGGTTTTCAAAAGATCCAGATTTAAAGTTCCCTTCCAGTAATGATTCTCCTTTAATTCACGGGGTTTCCTTATTTTCATGTTCAATAACTTTTTACTTAAATAGCTAGAAGAGGAGCTGCTAAAGAAGGTGCTAAAATGAAATAAAAGAAAAGAGAAAGTGGAAAAGAAGAAATCATAGAGCAGAAAATACGATTATTATTACACCCTCAATACAATCCTGAGATAACTAGTCCTGGAATATGTTATCCTGCAATTCTATCCCAACCAAACATGGGATAAACTCATCCTAAAATTAATACCGTGATTAGTAATCTCTTATCCCTCATAACAAACGAGCCCTAAGGGAATTAAATTCTGACTATTCTTACAATGGGGAAGTCGATAAATCTTCTAAGAGGGCCTTTTCAGATGATTTATGAAACTGAAGTTAGATTGGATGTTCCTTGAGAATTATTTTTGAGAACTGGCACTGTTAGAAGTTCCTTGGGAAATTGCGATTGCATTCCTATCCTACTCTTCTAGTTTATTGTTTCTACTAAAAGTTCAAAATCAACCCTATCTATAAATTATAATTGTTTTTTTTTGCCATATGCTATATTTATGCATAGACAAAGGCTGAGATCCCAGATATGTAAGTGAAAATCTTTCATAAAATATACAAATACTTAGATAGTTGAAAAGAATTTGTTATCAAAAACTTTAATTTTCTATTTCCCTCTCTACGCTTTGAACAGTCACTGGAAAACTAATTCTGTTCATCACTAGTGTCAACAGCTCCAGTCTAGAAACCGAGCGGCAGAAACTAAACAGTCGACTCATGGAGACAGTCAGATCAAAATCTATGAAAGAAATTACCAAAAACATATGTTTAAATGTATTAAATCATAAAAACAGTTCCATAAAAGAACAACATGGAAAAGTCAAATAATATATTATGTTCCAAGATGCAAGAAAAGGTACGCTACTTACATTGGCTGGATTCATAGAAGGTCCAGTGTAGTTTGAACCTGCAAGTACCAATGGTAGAGTTACCATAGTGAGCAACAAATTCTTGAGAAGTGTACTTTCCGGACCCCTTAGTACAATGACAAAGATCATAAATGTGATTACGAAGGTCAAGACACCCTCTGCAATAGCTCCGGTTTGTACATCCACCTTCAAAGCAGGCCCGTCAAGCATGTGGTGATAGTGTTTAGGCATAAGCTCCATGAGTGCTAGTGAACCAGCAACTGCACCTACTACCTGTAATGATCAAAAATGGATTGGGCTTATTCTATTCACCTCCTTTTGTGTTATTTAAATTTCATTGTCAAATCAAACAGTTCTAGTTCTAGCACCAATTCGGTAGAACATGAATTTAAAAGTTTAGGGGTCGTTTTGATAGATGGATAAGAAACAAGTTATTCATGTATTAATTTCCATATAACTTATATGACGTTTAGTAGGTAGACAGAAAAATAAGTTATTCAAATATAAAATTATTACACATTTGGTTGACAATGTAAAAACTCGCATAACTAATACATAAATAAATTATGAGGAATTCTATGTATTATTTTATAGATAGAAGGTGAAATAACTAAATTCTACATAACTAATATCTACATAAAATAACACACATTCACTCATGACAGGGGGTGACGAATAAGCTGATTGAGTTAAAATTGAAGAAATTAAAAAAAGATTGAAATAGAAATCAGGTTGGGTCATGATCCGCTCAAATTTATTTTGGGCTCAAATAGGCTAAAAATTAGGTTCGGTCATGATCCGTCCAATTTGACCGGCTTAATCTTAATATATTTAATATCAAGTATCAACCGCAACTGAATTTTAACTTTAAGAAAATAAAAAAAAAAATTACAAATAGATAGATAAATGCTAGAAGATATAAAATGGGAACCTACGTACGTTGCACCAATGCAAATAAAGAGTCTTAAATGAGTTTGAAATAAGAGATTAAATTGAGTTCAATTGAAAATTCTTTTAAGATAGGTTAAGGATAGAATTGGTTGACATGGACCCAATTCATATTATTTTGAACCCAACCCACGAAAATTTGATGGATTACCTAAATTTGGGTTTTTTTTGACACACCTACACATAACTAATTCATATATTACTAATACCTACTTAACTCTAACCAGCTACACATTGCACCTAGCAACACTCTACCAATAAAATTCCAATGAAAAGGAAAGTAAAAAAACCTGAGCAGGACAACGAACAGCGGCAGAGACAAGAGAATCATCACCAAGACCAGCAGCATAAAATGCAGCATTTCCAGTTGGATTGAAACCAGCACCACCCAATACATCACCAAGAAAACCAAACACCAAGAAAATAAGAAAAACAATAAGGGTAGTTATGAAGAGGGATGCAATTTCATTGGCAACACCAAAATAAGAAGCTATGAAATAAGTAGAAACCCCAATATTAGAGGAGCAGAAAACCCATAAAAACGTCAATAACCCATCAGCAATCGCTGATTTAATAACACCCATCTCTCTGTGTAAGCTAGTGCCGTTCGAAGAGAGGAA